TCATTCTCCTTGGCGGCTAGGGTTTTTGATTAATGGATCAGTTTTGTTTTCCTTTTCCCGTTTTTTCGTCGTTCTTACATTTGTCTTCCCTTTTGCCGCTTTCAAAATATATAAATATATAACTACTACTCCTCCACTTTCGCCATTGTTTTGATTTGATTCCGTCTTCCATTTATCTCGATTCCGCCGGCATATGCGTTTCCGAACGCTGTTTTGATCATAATTTGAAACTTTGACGAATTCGACTTTGATTTTGGTCAGTATCATCTGTGCTCTTCTTTCCGAGGCTGTTTTTGGTACTCTTTTCGATTTTTTTTTGGATATCTCCTTTAGTTTGTTGTTTTTCTGGTGTTTCATCACATCGGTACAAGCGTTGGTTCTGTAAGGAATTTTGTTCTGTGATCGTTGTTCAAGCAGAATTTGTAATTTATTCTCTAGATTGAAATTAAGGTTGTTGATTCGTTGTGTTTATTGATCGAAGAGACCTGGATTTGATTTTAGAAGATGAATTTCAATGATATCCGAGGCTCTGTTATACCGCCGCCTCTGCATCCTTATGGAGCCAATGGCGATGCCACTGGTTGCTGGTCTCAGTATCCTAGGAACGATCTATTTGATACACAATCGCAATTTGAACCACAGCTGCCTCCATTCAAAAGAGCTAGAAATTCTGAAGAAAACCAATCTAGAGTTCAAAATGGTCCAGTGAATAAAGGAATAAACAATATCTTCTTCAAGACAAGGATGTGTGCGAAATTCAAGCTTGGTTTGTGTAGGAATGGAGCGAATTGCAACTTTGCTCATGGTGCTGAAGACATGCGACAACCCCCACCAAATTGGCAAGAAATTGTGGGGATTCGTGAGGATGATCAATCGGTAAGTAACTGGAATGATGATCAGAAAATTATTCAGAAAATGAAGCTGTGTAGGAAGTTTTATAATGGGGAGGAATGCCCTTATGGAGATAGGTGCAATTTTCTTCATGAAGATCCTGCTAAATTTAGAGATGATTCTGGTAGGTTTAGGGAAAGTTCAGCTATAAGCATTGGAACTACTGTAACTCCATTGATGAATGGTAATGATTCTAGCTATTCTGAACCTAGCAGAGCTGTTTCTTGTCCTGCTTCTGATTCTCTTCGAGGTAATGGAAATGCATTCTGGAAGACGAAGTTATGCACTAAGTGGGAGGTTACTGGTCATTGCCCCTTTGGTGATAAGTGCCATTTTGCTCATGGCCAATCTGGTATTGATACCTCTCCTTTTCTCTTTCTCTGTAATGTGAAATACTGTCATAACATGACTCTTAATTTATTTAGTATCTTTGTCGTGGTGTCCTCTTTGAAGCGTTTGACATTGTGATTATACGACTTTGGGATGTTGACTGTTCTTTATGGATCAGTAAAGTCAGTTCCAAACAAACTCTTAATTTCCTCTTTGGAGCGTTTGACATTGTTTGATTATACTACTTCGGGATGTTGACTGTTTTTTATGGATCAGAGTTGCAACTCTCTCTTGGACGCGAGGGGCAAGTATCTAATCCTGCCCTCAACATAAATCCTCTAGTTGTGGCCATGGAAGCATCTCCGAGTTTGGCAGCGAGTGTCGCGACCTCTCCCCTACCAGAGGGTCAGGCGAAGCCGTGCTTGCTGAAATGGAAAGGACCCAAGAAGATAAATCGGATCTATGCCGATTGGCTTGATGATTTGCCTCTCTCTCCAACCTCAGCCAGCAAATTGGATGTTTGAGTGTTTTTGAGTTGGAAGTTGTTTGTTCTTGATTTGTTTTGAAATTGGTTTTGGTGAGATTCAATTGATTAGTTTCAATATGGGGGTTGGGTTGGTGCTGGTTTTTCTGAATCATTGAGTGTAAAAAAGCAGTTTTGCTGAGAGTTTTTTTTGGGGGTATGGAAAGAAGAGAGAGAGAGAGATAGGTATATCTTATATTGTTTGTTCTTCATATTTGTTCATATCCCATAGAAAACTGGTTCGAAATTGTAATGTAATTCAATATATTCCAGCAAATTTTTGACTATTGTCAATCTGAATAAATCTCCAATCTAATAGGTTTCATAGTCTATGCAAGAGAGAGAAAAGTAGCACGACTGAGTATACATGTCATATGTGACACTGAGTATACGTGGCACCAATCGAGTTAAGCGTACCAATGGAATGGGATAGACTATTGATGTTTCAAGTGAGGATGGTTTGGTTTCGGAGGTGGGAAAGTTGTCTACCATAGTTCTCAGCCTTGGTGTTGTGAGATCCCACATTCGTGGTAGAGTAGAACGAAAATTGCACACCCTCCTAATAGAGTTTTAAAATTGTGAGGCTGACAATGATATATAGACAATGATATGTAACGAGTTAAAACAGACTATATGCTGTGATAGTTTCTTTTTAAAGTGTGGAAAGACATCGTTGCATCGTGCTTCCCTTTAAAAAGTGTGGAAACACCTCTTCCTAACTGTCGGTTTTGAAGTCAGACATTGTTGCATCGTGCTTCCCCAAAGACGTTGCATCGTGCTTCCCTTTAAAAAGTGTGGAAACACCTCTTCCTAACTGTCGGTTTTGAAGTCAGACATTGTTGCATCGTGCTTCCCCAAAGACGTTGCATCGTGCTTCCCTTTAAAAAGTGTGGAAACACCTCTTCCTAACTGTCGGTTTTGAAGTCAGACATTGTTGCATCGTGCTTCCCCAAAGACGTTGCATCGTGCTTCCCTTTAAAAAGTGTGGAAACACCTCTTCCTAACTGTCGGTTTTGAAGTCAGACATTGTTGCATCGTGCTTCCCCAAAGACAAATTTTGTTTGAACTTCTACGTGTTTTCATAAAAAAGAGTTCTCGTAAATACGAAAAATTCTCAAAAATACCCTTTTAACATTTTTCCTAAAATACCCTTGAACTAAAAAAAACTCGATCGTATTAATAAATTTTTCTAATTTCCAAAAAATTCAATAATATTCATAAATTCTAAAAAAAAAATTTGGTTGTAAAAAAGCCAACATATAAATGGAGAGTAAAAAGAACCCTCTTTTATCTCGTCTATTTTATCTGGTTTCGGAGCTCTCAACTTCATATTTCACCAGAAAATGGTACCAAGGCAATTGCGAACAATCTTCACCGGCGCCGCCGTCATCTTCGGTGGAATTTTCACTCTTAGGTTCGCTTCGTTTCTCACTATCCAAACGCTCCGCCACACCGCCGAAGCCAAACGGGTAATTCATTTTTCTCTACGAATACACATCTTTCTTTAAAATTAAACTTATATATTGGGAATGGAAGAAGGCTCGTTAATTCTGAAGCATTTCTTTGATACTATTCTATTCGGATTTTCAATTTTTCGGCAGAGAAAAATCGTTTTGCCCTGTAGGGCTTGTAGAGGAAAAGGATTCTATATTTGCAAATTATGCTGCGGAAATGCAGTCATTCAGTGGTCGCCATTGTCCGATCCTATTGCCATGAACCCCTGCGTGTGCCCGACTTGTGAGGGAAATAGGTTATACTTTTCACCCCCTTCGATCTCGCCTGCTGTTGCTTGTTAGAATTTTCGCAGGATTAGGTTAATGGCATTCCATTCTTTATGATTTACTCGCTAGATTGTATGTTCATGTCAAATCCTATCCAGAATTTCGAAGATGCGGAACCCTAAAATTTATTTTGGGTTTTTGTTTGTTTGAGACAGAGTTTGTTGTCTATATATATATTAAAAGGTTAAGATTCTAGAGTTCTCTCTAATTTGGGCAGTTTCAAAATTGAAGGATTATATAGTAGAAAGCAAGCAAAATTTTGCTCCTTCTTAGGAAAATTCTCGGCTTCCCTCTCGAGTTTGATTCCGTTGATTTATGTTTTCTGGTGGTGATGTTCTTGTTTTGCTGGATCATTTGATATTGCAGGGTGCAGCATTGCCTAAACTGCCTAGGAAAAGGATATGAAGTATGATTGACCTTGTAAGTTTCTCATATAGTAAGTGAAGTGATTTACCTTTGCATTGTATTAGTTCTTGGTGAGGTTTCTCACTTGATTATAGTAATCTAATGGATGATCTAGCTCTAGTTGTATTTCATCGTCATTTTAACGAGAATGCTTTGTAGTTTATGTTAGGAATCATGACCTCTAAACTGGTATGGTATTATCCACTTTGAGCAATATGCTTTCATGGTTTTGCTTTTGCCTTTCCGAAAAGGTCTTATACCAATAGAGATGTATTCATTCTTTATAAACTTATGATCATCCCCTTAATTAGTCAATGTGGGACTCCCTCCCAACAATCCTCAACAATCATCTCCTCGAACAAAGTACACAATAGAGCCTCCCGTGAGACATATGTAGCCCTTGAACAGCCTTTCCTTAATCGAGGTTCGATTCCTTTCTCTGGAGCCCTCGAACAAAGTACACCTTTTGTTCGAGTCACTTTTGACTACACCTTCGAGGCTAGCAACTTCTTCATTTGACACTTGAGGATTCTATTGACATTACTAAGTTAAGGGCATGACTCTGAGACCATATTAGGAAGCACAACCTCCATAATGGTGTTATATTGTCCACTTTGAGCCTAAGCTCTCATCGTTTTCCTTTTGGTTTCTCCAAAAGGCCTCATACCAATGGAGATATATTCATTACTTATAAACCCATTATCATCCCCTTAATTAGCCAATGTGGGACTCCTTCCCGACAGTCCTCAACCGTTTATGCTTTTAACCATCATATACACTTGTCAATGCAGTAAGAGATTTGACTAGACGTTATGGGTTAAAAACTTGTATTTGTCTCCTTACTGAGATATTAAGTATCAGACAGTTTTAGTTGTAAGAACATGTTAAGTGACCACCTGTCTGCTTTAAATATGAACATGTAGAGCTTGTTTTAAGTCCATTCTTTCATGTTTTTGCTGGAAAACTTGAATGTTTCAAAACAAATGCAATAAGTTGCTTTAAGTATACTGCAAACATCGATAGGGGACGACCAGTTTGACTCGAGCTATCCCATCTAATGCAATTGCAGGTGTAAATTCCATCCGAAATCGACGAAAATACGAATGAACGATCAAAAGGTGTCTCTCTTTCAGCTGAAGAAAGGTCATTTCATTGCTTAAACTGCCATCCATACCTCAGTTATTTGCATATAAGGTTACTTGTGATTGTGAACTCTTTGAGATTGTTCATTCTTTCATGATTAAAGTATATGTTGGCAGAGCATTCACACTTCTATTGCTTGTTCTTCTTTTTAGTTTGGTGGGTGGAAAGTTAATCTGAAAAGCTTGAATCATGTGATGGAATGGAAGAAGACAAGTTGTTATTAGGTAGAAAAACATGTAAAATGGTCTCTATGATTTGATAACGTCAAATCATAGAGACGGGATTATGACGTTGAAAATTATAGGAACTGAGTTCTAATTTCTTCAAATCACAACAACCAAATTTGCAATTCAACCTTTTTTTTAAGTTAGAATTTAGCTCCTATAGTTTCAAAACTTAGAAATTTTGCTGGTGTAGTTCGATAAAACGGTCATAAATAAGGGGATTTATGAAGATTTTATCAAATTACAGAGACTATTTGTAAAATTTTATCAAATCATATAGATTCAATTCTAATACTCTCGAAATCATAAAAACCAAATTTGTAATTGAAGGGACGTTTAAAAGGAGCTGACAAAAATGTGATGTATTAACTCCTAAGATGAAGATGCTTTCTTGTACGATAAATATTTAATTTTGGTTATATTATAGTCCAAATATAATGTGTATATCCCAAAGATCATTGCTTCAAGCTTCATTTTGCTATAACTATTTTTAATCTTAGCTTTATTCCTTTTCTTTCAACTACTTGGTTAGGTTTTGTGTAACAATAAACTAACTATTAATTTAAATTAATTCCAAGTGGAATTAGATTATATTGGTTCTAAGGATTGACCATATACACATTTTCTAAATAACCCAATATTAAACAGCTTAATGATTTTATTTTATTATATAGTTCGTTAAAATATATTGACACGATAATACTTTGTCAAAGATAATAGGAGTATTTAATTTATTTATCTAGACTAATTCTTTGCTTCAAAATAATAGAAATCAACCTTTCATAACTTCTTATTTAATATTTGACATTTTATTTTTTAATAAATTAATATTTGACTCTTCAATTTGTTTCTTTTAAAATATTTATTAAATAATTTCTTGCAAATATACAAAAATTTATTTAAAAAATAATTTTTATTTTTAATTATGGATGAAAGTGGTTAGAGCCATGTTCACACTTATGCCTATTTTTAAGGGGACACCCTTTTTCCCCAAGTAATTAATTAATTTTTTATATAAAAAAAATCTAAAAAATGGTAATTATTAATTTTATTTAAATTATAATTAAGAATAATTTCTCACTTTTTTTTTTGTGGGGTGGAGGGGTAAATTTACCGCTAGTTTTAGTAAGAATCCCAATAAATTAATTATTATGGTAATTAATATTTAAAATTCTATTTTTAATCAAATAATTCATTTTTTATTTTCATTTGCTTAGTTGCCAATTTTCAAATTAAGGCTGCTTTGACCTTTTTAGTCTCCTCATAAAGTTTGGTCAAACTTAACTCTATTTAATTTTATATCCTCATTTATATTTAGAAATTGCGTACTTGTTTTTTTTGTTTTTTTTTTAATTTTTATTTTCTAAAAAATTATTAAAAATAAAAAAATAATAATTATGTTTTAAAACTTTTAACTTGTAAAACTATTTATACTAATTTAAAATTATATATATATATATATATATATATTTTGAAAATTATGAATAGTGTGTTACAAGCTATTCTTGGGATCTTGGGAAACCGTAAAAAGATTAATAATTTATTTATTTTTATCTCGGAAGATTTGTTGATAATTTTTTTTTTAAAAAAAGGGATTTAATGGGTTTTGGTAGAATCCTACGGAAAATTGCAATCCTCACACTTAACAATCAAATATAAACAAAAAATAAGAAAGGCAGAGGCAAATTACAGAGGCAGTGAAGAATTTTTGTGATATCAAAATTCTCTCAAATCCCAAGGTCAGTGAATTCTCTTCGTTTTTCATCATTTTCTGGGTTCAATCCGTTTCTTTGTTTACAACCCAGATCAAAATTTCAATGATCCTTCATGTTTTTTTCTTTTTAATCATTCACTTTTTGTTTCTTGGTTCATCGGACTCTACTTTTTGCTTCTTCTTGGGTCAATTTCGATTTTCTCACCTGCTGTTTGGTTGCTTGGAAAAACAGAACAAACGTCGAGAAAATATTTGGTATTCATTGGTTTTTGTTGCAGTAGAGACATTTTGAAATTAAAAACTTAAACTATGTTAGTTTTAGTTCTATTCTCTATTTGAATGTCGGCTTTCGTTTTCGTCGTCTCGTTTTAAGATTTTGAGGTTTTATTTTCGTTTCCGTTTCAGCATTTTATTAGCAATCTATCATCGCTTCAATGCGAATTCCAAGTCGTTCTGTTCCGATTCTACTGATTCATATAGTTTTGCTTGATTGTCTGTTTAGTTGATAAACAAAATTCCAAATGCTTTCTATCTTATTGTTGTATTCTTGTTGAGCAATCCAGATTTGAATTATATTATTCAAACGTTTCAAGATTTCTATTGCCTTTTTATGTTCTTTTTTTTTTGTTTAATCGTATGAAATACTCTCGTTTATGTTGTTCTCTCTAATCGTTTCATATGAACTTCTGAAAATCTGTTTGTATGTCCTTCGGATCAGTTTGAGTAATTTCATTGCACATTTTCTTATTCTAGTTTCATTACATATGAAATACTCTCGTTTATGTTGTTCTCTCTAATCGTCATATGAACTTCTGAAAATCTGTTTGTATGTCCTTTGGATCAGTTTGAGTAATTTCATTGCACATTTTCTTATTCTAGTTTCATTGAGGTAGAATTTTGTGTTGTAATTCTCAAGCTTTTTTGCTGTTTCCCCTTGAAATGAACAGATAGTTTGCTCAGGAAATCAGTTCACGCATCAGCAAGCATGAGATTCAGGAAAGGAAGCAAAGTGGAAGTGCTAAGCAAGAAGGAGGTGCCTTCAGGCTCGTGGCGTTCGGCTGAGATTATTTCTGGCAGTGGTCACTATTATACTGTTAGGTATGATAAATTTGAGGGTGGGAGTAATCAAACTGTTGTCGAGAGGGTATCGCGTAAGGCTATCAGGCCTTGTCCGCCTTCTCTGGAAGTTTTAGAGAATTGGATCTCTGGCGATGTTGTGGAGGTATTCAATGATCGTTCTTGGAAAATGGCTATGGTTTCTGAGGTTTTGGGGAAGAACAACTATTTGGTTAGGTTACTTGGTTCTTCTAGTGAATTCAAGGTTTGCAAATTCGACATTCGGGCAAGAAGATCATGGCAAGATGACAAATGGGTTTTGATGCACAAGGTAGGTAGCATTTTGTTGATCACTTTTCAATTATAGCTGTTTTTGTTGTTTAACTGTCAAATATTTTTAAATAAGTTTAAAATTCGAGACGTGCTAGAAGTTATTGTATATTGTCTTGGTTTCACTTCACAATTTGTGTGTGTGACCGCCCAAGCCCACCTGTGTCCTCTTTCAGCTTTCCCTTTTGGGCTTCCCCTCAAGATTTTAAATGAGCCTCAAAGCCATACACCGTACAGTGTGCCAGCGTCTTCCTGGCTCCCGGGGGGGGGGGGGGG